AGAGAGAGAGAGAGAGAGAGGCAGAGAAAGGTTTAACATCGACGCCCGTATTGCTTCAAAAATGCAACATTGAGGCAGCAAAATCCGGGAGCTCAAGAAAATAAAAAAAATAAAATAAAACAACAAAAAAAAAACGTTTATTGGTTCATAAATATCTCGTACAGGATGAGAATGCGCCGACAGACACTCACGACGGTGGCTTTGGAAACGGTGGGGGGACAAGTGTACAGGACCGCAGCGAGGTGGACACAGAGTGGCTTCCAGCACTCGCGGATGGCTGCGGCCTCGAACGGCGCGAGGCCGACTCTACAACGGTGGCACTCGGGGACTGCGGAAAGGGCTCAAAATAAACAGAAGATGTTGAACAAGAGGACTCCCAGACGGGGAAGAGAGCATCACGGTCTCCTGAATTCGCGGCGCCCCCTTTGCGCCGCTCATCTTCCTCCGCCCCATGCCTTTCTCCAGCGGCGTCGTGGAAATGGTGACTATGACCACAGCTGTGGGAGTGGCCATGGTGGTGGGCCGAGTGATTTCCCTCCAGGCTGCTTGCGTCGTCGTCGTCGTCGTCGTGTGGGGCTCGCGTCTCGACGAAGACGCGCGACGCAACCTTCTCAAGGGCGCGCCGTACTGCCGCCGTCACGGCGGAGGGATCCGCGGAGGACATGAGCCGCACGCGCACAAGCGCCATCACCTCGCCCTTCGCCACCTCCCAAAAAACGGCGGACCGGACCTGAAGCACACCCTCAACCAGCCTCACGTTGCGGATGGCCCCATCACAGGCCGCCACAACAGACGGCTGGCAAACCGCGTTGTTTGCCAGTAGCCACGCCATCTCCTTTGCCTTCCTGTAGGAAACCACACATGCGTGGGCTGCCAACAGCAGCGCTCCACCTATCTCCCACAGAGGACTTCTCGAAACCATCGTCGCAAGACACACTGCGATACACGTCAATGGGGCAAAGGCACGCGCGGCAGCACGCACAGTGCGATTAACTAAAAATGACCCGTGCGGCAGCTCCTTCAAGGACTTCCGCAGCTGTCGAGCCGTGTGGCTCGCCTGCCCAGCGGATAGGATTTGCACGTCATGATGGTCAACACCTTGGCCGCTAACGCAATCGTATGCGTCAATTTCCCGCGCGTACACGGTCACCAAAATAAAATGGTATACGCCAAGAATAAGCAGCAAAGAGCGGGGCATGTGGGATGCGCAGAGGGCGCAATGAAGACCCTCCCCGATCACTGTCAGGCAGCCAAACATAACGAAGATGGTAGAACCAAATGAGACCAGCACAAAAAGCCGCCGCATGCCAAACGAGAAGCCGGTAGGCGCATTCGCATCCTGCTGTAGCGAATTCCCCCCTCCCTCTACTTGGCCGCTACCGGAGGAAGACATGGGCCGGCATTTCTCGCCCTTGTCGGGCGGCGACGTAAGAAGACTGTCGTGGCCGTAATGGCACGACGCAGCAGCGGCCGCAAGTGTCGTCCACGCGTTGAGCACAAAGAAGGAGTTCACGTTGAGAACTATGCACTCAAAGTAAACGCTTAGCACTAGATCGAAAATCCACAGGCCAAAGAAAATCGCACTAATTTTGCGGAGGCGGCACATTTCGGGATCGGTATCCGCCATCGCAAGTTGCAGCAGGGCCCGCCACATCATTCTTTATTTCGCCACAGTAACTTCCCCCTCAAAGGAACCCAAAGGCAAAAAGGTGCAAAGGGCAAAACAAAATCGAAAGCAAGCCCAATAAAATAAACAGCCATGCCACCGCAGTCCAATTCCCCTTTTCACGCCACCACATGATACATTTTACACGGACAGGCTCGTATATCTATACCAACATATATACTTGGCCCCATTCCTTCCTGCCCTCGTTTTTCTTGTCGCTCTAACCTGCAAGCATACTCACGTGCCCACTAGGTGGGCACTCACCCATTAGACGTCCAATTCTTCTTACGGCAAAGAATGATCCCCAGTACGTTGGCGCTTCATATGCGTACCTGTGCTCAGCAGCGGTAGCAAATGGGCCATGCCGGCAGCCTTTAGCGCCAACTTTATGTCCTGCGCCGAAAGCGTGACCCGCTTCTTTGCCTCCCGAGATCGTTCGTCCTCAGCAAGGCATGACAGATACAGTAAGAAGAGTGAAGCTGCCTTTTGAAAGGCAACACGAGCATCCTTCGACAGAAGCATACCATCCGGTAGCGCCGCCGACACAGTCCGGTCCACCTGGCCAGAGGCAAGACTGCGAACTTTCAGCGTGGCAGCAGTAGCCGAGCACGTCCCCGAGGCATCCATCGCGGCACCACTTGGAAGTTGCCCAGGAGGAGCAGGAAAAAAGGGCTGTCCACTCGAAGACACCTCCTCCATGTAACTAACTAAACGCAGCACTAAAAAGGCAGAAGTCAAAACGAGAGGAGAATCTAATCAACATCAATTTAACCAGGCTCTGTTTACACAGGCACGTTTAGGCGCACGGTGCTTCAGTGCAGAGAGGCAGCGGGCAGGGATGTAGACAATGACACAGAGAAGAAGGAGAGAGGGGCATCAGCCACAGAAGTGAACGGCGTTCAATCGTCACTGGCACGTCGGATTGAAGGGCTAACTTCGTGAACAATAGGTGATCATCATGACAAGCAGAGAACTCGCGGCAATGGCTCTTCGTCACCGCTATCACAGGGCACAACTATGGCATGTTGCAGCAGGCTCTGTTTACACAGGCACGTTTAGCGCACGGTGCTTCAGTGCAGAGAGGCAGCGGGCAGGGATGTAGACAATGACACAGAGAAGGGGGAGAGGAGGGG